CTGAACCGGAAGCCCAAAACCTAAAGACACAACTCCCAAATGAAGGTTTCCAGAAAAAAGCGCCCCCCCCAAGAATTAGTAAAATGTGCTTAAAACCCGAGTTCTAGGCATGTAAAGTAAGGAAAAACATGGCGTCAGTAGTAGTAGTAGTAGTCGTCGTCGTCGTAGTAGAAGTAGTAGTAATAGTAGTAGCAGCGGTAGTAGTGGCAGTGGTAGTGGCAGTAGTAGTACCTGCACTAGAACAACACTGGCGGCATGTCCTCCACAGTCAGCGCAGAAGACAGGTGCTTGATTTGCGATTCGGAAATGCCTTGTTCATTCCTCAGGACATGACACCCACAAGCTGCAAGGCTTGTCAGCGGCACTCTACCTCTCAAAGCTTCGAGGCCGGGGCGAATGTAGGGCACTGTTCACTCCCCGAAGCACATTCTCAAAATCCTGGCTCCGGCTTCAGCAATGGGACAGACTGGCAACGGCAAACTTCATGCATAAGCACCAGGCCTCGCTCAAGACCTTGCAACTGTCTACCTCATCGAGAAACTGGCAGCCCGTCCGGATGTGAACTCGGTAACCTTTGCAAGATCTGCTCGGAAATGCTCTGTCATTGGGACACTGTTTGTCTGCAGCCTGGGTATGTCCGGGTCTTTTTTCCCTGGGAGGCTGCGGTCAAGGCAACACCAAGAGCATATTGGCTCAACTTGTTCATACTTGTTCAGTTGTTCATATGCTCTGCCGTTGATTTCCGGAGCTGAGAGGCTGCCAAGCTCCTTCCCGCCAGGGACCCACTCGAGGCCACGTTTATGTGGCGTCGGTGCGCCGCAATGCTTCCCTCCAGCATGCTTTAGTAGAAATGACAGTGAACTTCATCTTGGCATCTCAGGACAGGTTGATCAAGCGCTAACTGTGAATCTGTTCAGTCTCTTTTGGGCCGCTGGCGGAAGAGCAATGTAGTCAGGTCCTGCGGCCATTACACAGTATTCACTCACGAAGAAAGCATCTGTGCACACCGGCACGGTATTGAAGATTATTGAAGAGCCGAAGAGCCTCCACCAAGCTGTTCTCCAAGTCTGCTGTGCCTTGACCTTTCAGTTGGAAAGCCTGCACATCATCAATGCAACATTCAGTGTTGCTGCCCGAGTTTCTTAGAGGTTGTGTGGCCTGCTGAAACTCCAAATAGTTTAGAGTGCCGTCTTGCGTCACATCCAAGATCTTTGAAATGTCCACAAGCTTCTCGTGCCTGCAGCTCTCGACTCCGATTCACACGCCTGAAAGGAACTTCTGGGAAAGCAGGCGGCTGGGGCTTTGACGAAAGGCGCTCCCCGTCCACGCTCAACTTGTCCAATCCCGGCAACTGCGAGGCAAACTGCGCTCTGTTTGCAAAGAGCGTGGCAGACGACCGTGGTCTTCGAAGTGGCACCTTCTCGATGCCAGCAACAAACTCGTCCAGCTGCAGAATTCCATCACCAGACGTGTCGATCTCTTGGAAGACTTGGGACTGGCAATCAAGCGCAAGCAAATCCAAGCAACGGCAAGATGGTCAATCCTGCACACTGCGTTCCTGACTGAAACTTCTTCCAAGGTCTATGATTCCGGACGGTTGTGGTTTGCTGTTCGAGAGGCGACGCAAGCCACGCCAGCGGCTCTCTTTCGGTCATACCTTTACTACCGCACTAGTCCGACAGGCTTCTTATAAGCAGCACTTCCTTCGCAGTCCCTGGCCCTCTGATCTAGTAGCCAGTTCCTTGTGATCTCTCAGCAACTGCACTCCAAGGGCCGCATTGATTGATGCAATAAGAAAGGGGTGCTGAACGATTTTCTTGGGAGAAAACCGTAAACAGAAAACATGGCACTCGGCCGACTTGGCGTATCAGGATGCAGGACTTCAAGAAACAAAAGACCTTGCAGCGGGGGTGGCCGGAAATGACATCCTCGTCAAAAGCATGTAGCTGCACATGGCCATTCTTGGCGAAACCAACCCTTGAGCCTTGACTTGTTGCTTTGGACTTCCTGCGCTCTGTGGCTTGAACTAACAGCCCAATCGGCAACAAGTCAGGAGCACCATCTTGGTAGCATCTCCAGACTCACCATCTCCTGCACCTGAGTCTGCAAGCTGACGTCGCATACGAGCCTGCACTCCTTTGTCTATCAGCACGCGAAATACCAGGCATGCATCGTCACTGCGTGGCCTTTTTTGCTGCGCGCAGATTGGTATGCGAAGGTCTTGGACATTGTCAGCGTAGTGTTGCCATAGTCCGAGCTTCTCGTTCTGAACAGCAACTGGGCCACCAAGGAACGTCATGAGGTCGTATGTTCTCGGGCACGCAGGGGTTCCAACAGCTGCGGCCGCAGATTGATGTTGAGCTGGCTCCTGCCTTTATCGGGACATCTGGTGCCTGCGCTGCAAGCGCCAGTTCCTCCACAAAGTCACAGACAGAGGCAGCATTCACTCAACACTTATGTCGCAGTATCTCTTTCGCTGTCGACCGAGCTTGCGACCAGCAGTCCCCAGCTGGCTCTGTCAGAGCCTCTGCTGTTTCTGCCAGCGCCGCCACGACCTCGCCTGCATGCTCGCTCCCGCACTGTGAGAGACACAGTGGCCTGCTGCGCTCTCGAGACTTCGATGTGGCGGACTGTCATCAAGGCCTGTGACGACAGGTTCCTCGCTGGGATGCTCAACCTGGAGCACAAGTTGCACATGTGGACAGTACAGCCTGGGTGCTGTCGCTATCAAGCAAGTCTTGCAGGCCTTGGGCCTTGCGTCTATCAGCACGATGCCTCGTGCGACATGTGATTCTCAATGAAGCATACGAGAACAGTGTCGCAGACTCTCACAGATCCCAAGACGATGCATGCCCGCATAAATTTGGGGCTCGGAAGCATAACGCTGGGCTAAATCCACAAAACAGTTCAAAAGTAGATCGCAAGTGAAAAACCCTAGTTACTAGTTTGTGGACTTTGGTCTTCACGTGTCACTAGGTCCAGGACCTGGCCGGATGCTGACAACTAAAAATACAGGCCATGTTTCCTACCTGAATGCGGGCTCCTTGCGGCTGCAGCTAAGGTTCTGCCACCTTGAGGAGACGTGTTCAATCTTTGCCGCCTCTCCGATGCCAGGACCTCCGCACAGGGTGCCTGCAGTCTCCTGCATCTAGGGACAACCTTCATCGGCCGTTTGTCAAGACAAGGGCGACTAGTGCTGCAGTCCGTGGGCCATTCCGTGCTGCATGATGAACAGGAGGAGCGCACTCTGCATGGCAAAATGCACGCCCCGGATGGGCGAGCTGCTAACTAAGTCAAGACAGAGAATTTGCAGGCATGTCCGGGTTATGCATGGCTACACTGCTTCACAACGTCTCAGCTCATGTGCCAATTGTGGCAAAGGCCGCATGAAAGTGATATGTTGGTCACCACTGGTTTCTTGATCCACTGCATGGCTTCGCAAACATCAAAGGCAGAGCGGCTGCAACAGCCTGAGGAAGGCACCAGGTGCCTGCACCCAACCACAGACTTTCGAAAGGGTTGACGCCGTTGAATTGAGAACAACTCTGGAAGACCCGCCTTCGTCTTGATGATCAGCCGGCCGATTTGCCCAAGAGTATCGAGACACCTGAGTGAATGTCTCAAGCGCTTGGCTGCTGACAACAGTCGAAGCAGCAGAATTGCCGTGTCGGTATCTACACGGTGGCTTAGTGTACTGTCGAAGAACTCCTTCATGCTCATACACCATACGCGTCCGTAAGTGTGACGAAACTCACCGAGTATCCTGAGGAGCGAGCCATCGCGGCAGGTCTGCATTGTTTGTCGCAGAGTAAACCGTGGTGAAGTGCCCCAGGAACTCCTGGCACCGATACTGACCGCTATTGAGAGCATTGGCATCACTTTCCTCGAAGACTCAGTGTCAGTATCCTGGACGGAAAGTCGCACGGAGTCAGCTGCAACAACCGAGGTAGCAAAGAGCTGGCCTCCGCATGTACGCAACATTCAGTCAGAACCGCCAGGTGTGTGGAACACAATCAGTGGTCAGCGCCGCGCCAAGGAGCCGATCTATCTGGGATGACCTTGCGCCACATGTGGCGGAACTTTTACTGCCATATCTTGCCGTGATAGGCTGCATCTGACACCTGTGTACTGAGGAACACACGATAAGCCAAGGTTGAACTTCTCCAGAACCTGAGCACAAGCACAAAAGGCAGAACGAAGACAGGCTTCAAAGAGAACCATGTGAATGTGTTCGGCTCGGGCCTGCTTCGCCTCCTTGATGTCGACAGTCCCATCCCCGTCTTTATCAAACATTTTGAAGGTTTCGGTGAGGTCCATGTCCATCGCGACAATCGCCTGCAGGCACCGCACCCCGAAAGCCAGCAACCGCCTTCGAAACACGTGCCTCATACACCTGCTTGATGGCATCATTCACGAAACTGCCAGAAAGTCGAAAGTTCTATGTGTCGGCATGATAGCAATACAGGATTTACCGAAAGGCTGTACACGCTTTGAGGGCACTGCGAGGAATATCCTGCAGATTCGCTCTTCACCACCCATTTGTTCAGAAACTTGGTGACCTGCCGAGAAGGACCAACGACCGCCGGAATTACAGCATCAGCAGACAGACGCTTAGCTCTGCTCTAAGTGTAATAGCAAAAGACTTTCGCAACAAAGGCGGCAAGCAAGGTCTCCAATTGACTGCACTCTGATGCGGTCCACACACCATTCGGAGAACCACTAACAGCTCATGCGATGCTGTGGCCTCTCGCGTCCTGGTACATCACAAGTAGTTTCGGATAGTTGGTCAAGTTTAAGGCAACATAAACGGTTGCATCATTCACAAACCGCCCTACAACCAACAAGCAACAACCAACGAACGCAAACACGACATCCAACCAGCAACAAGCAACTGTCAGCACGCCACAAACCACACGCCGGAACCCACAAACCACAAACAACACTATAACAACAACAATCATAGAAAACAGCAAGCAGCAACAACAACTGCAACAGCAGCTGCAACTGCTGCTGGTTCTACACAAGGCATCAGCAACAACAGCAACTGAAACAACCGAGAGCGAGAACAAGAAGAAGAACAAGCATAATAAAGAAACAACAGCAACCACCACAATCATAACCACAATCAACAACTCACCACAACCCACAACCCACAACCAACAACCACCAACAACCAACAATGTAACAACCGACACCAACAACAACAACAACAACAACAACCACTCAAGACAAATAGCCAACAACAGCAACAACAACAACAACAACAACAACAACATTTCATTCGCACGCAGCGGGAGACGATATCCTGGGGTGAGAAGCTTCCTCGCTTTGCGAGTGTTCGACCTATGTTGCTCTACTTGCAATTGTCAATATAAGCCGGTCTCAGCAGCGCTGCTGGCCGTGCCTCAGCCCTGCGCCAGCATGCGTCCCGCCTCTGAAGGCAGCAGACTGCGTTTCTGAGAGGCTTGAAGGCGCATGACAGGGCTGGCAGACAATGTGGTCATGTGTGCTGCAGCTGACAGATCTTTTTCAAGAGTCAGCCTTATCTTCTCAGGCCTCCTTATTTCGAGACTACTCTGCTTGAGGAGCGTCCCCTCTTATCACGATCTCTACATTGAAAAGAAGCCTGCTTGGCAACTGCACCCTTAAGGTGGGCAACTCCGATGGATGACTGCCAGACTCCACCATGGCTCCTGCTGAGTTCGGCGTGGATTCTGCTGCCGAGGTCGGTGCTGAGGTGATAACTTCCACCGTTCCCGTGCCACCATGTGTTAGAATAGTTGGCGCCGCCTTCGCTAGAGCAGGTCTTTTCGGGGGAGGATCTCCACCCGACCGTTCGGCTGCTGCAGGAGGTAGATTGACCGGCTTGGGAGGCGGAGGTCCTGCTGGTGGTTCTGAGGATGATCTTGGAATTCCCAACATTACGCCCTGTGGGCGGCGCCTTAGATCCAGGGGTCTCACCATCTGAGTCTTCAATTTCGTCACTTGACGGGCTAGCTCGTCTTGCTCTGCCCGTTCTTCTCACAGGTGGTGGGGTTCTGGATACGTCGCGACCTGATGTTCGCTTCGGTGTTTCCGCCATGACTATCTGACTGAGCTCTTACTTGAACCTCAAGATGTCCGCACGGCCCTGATTACTTGTTGGTAGCAAAGCGCGACACTATCCCTAGTTTGGAACTGCCTTTTTCGCTGCATTTTGGACAGGTTGGCTTCTGGGGAGAGTCTCCTCCATTCTGAACAAGCTACAAGGGAGAAACTCCTCTCGAAAGAAACGCACAAGTCTGGTGGGACTACCTTAACATCCTTCGGCAAACCGAAAGCGATTGAGCAAGACACTGAAAGCTGAATGATAAGATAAGAAATACATTGCTGCAGGGGAGTTACTCCGCCGAATAGTTCCTACCGGGAGTGACTCCTCAGTAGTTGTATGATTAAGTAGCACTTAGAGAGTTGAGCCCCACCGATCGTACTTGGCTTGATTACGCAAACTTTGAAAATATACAATGGCCTCCGAGGGCACGTCGTCAGCTGTGAGAATAACGTCATTCCTGCTTCGCAGGAAGCGAACTCCCATAGTACTAGCCGTTCTTGTGTTGACTGCCACCACCATCGTTGCGCTGGCCCGCATCCCGGATACTACTGCCTCTTGGCTGCTTCCTGAGGTAGTAAAGTGGATGTGTTTTCGCCCTTCACCGCCTTTAACGCCGCCCTTGCCTTTAAGACGGCATTGCGGCAGCAGTCCGGACGAACGAATAGAGTCATAGAGCTTCCATTGAGTTCCGTGAATGATTTCTTCGGGGAGTTGCTCCTCCGTCAGTAC